TGGCCTGAAGGCAGCACTAATACACTGATGACTAATGGCTGGGCCGGGGCAGACAATGAATTTGGGGCCTGAAAACTAACAGAAACCATGCAGTACTTTGACAAATGGGCTTTCACGATTTCATTCATTGAATAACCTTTAAGCACAAAATTGGCTCTGGTTCTCTTGGGAATTATATGACATGTTGTCGGACAATGATGTAAGTATTTTCTTTTTTAATTATGACTCTTATGCAAAACGCAAATGCATGGTCTAGGAGGACTCTGTAGATACCCCAATGCAGGCGAGGAAGTCAACACAATATTGCCTTTCAAGAAGGGGCTGAAACGTTCCAATGCTACCTTATTAACTATGGAATGGCTTTTTCATTCAGCTTCTTTAGAAAGCCATAGATTTTCTGCGACAGTATGTCGGGTTGAAATATACATACACAGAACAAAAAACACTTTCACATTAACAAAAAAAATAAATAAAATAAAACACAGGGGTAATGAGTAGCTACCAAATTTGGCACTAAAATATTGTACATTTAGAATTATAAGTGGAAAAAGTCTAATTTTCTGGGGCCAGGCAAAAGGAGCGTGCCATAAAACAACTGGGAGCCCATGTAAAGTTTGCAGTCAAATACACTTACAAACACATTCAACATCCCATTTCTTTACAACGGCTCTCCTCCCTCTTCCCCGCACCACTGGCCTTTCGATTTAAAACTAACAATTTTGGCAATTTTTAAAGAGAGAATGAAATATCTAAAGTGTCTCTAAATTAGCAAGCACCACTTACTCCAGACAGCATCGCCTTTAACAGCTCCTAAAAACTTAAGAAAAGGATCTTAAAACAGGAAGCTTAGTGAGCTCATAAAACTGTTGTTGGAGCCAGGAACACATAGCATATTTAATCTGCAAACTGTGAGAGTCTACAGTGATTTCAGCAAGATCTGAGGCATGCCCTCAAGGTTTGCTGGGATCTGGGATTAGGGGGTTGATAAGAACCTCTACTGCCCATGGACGTGTTTTTCTTCTGCAGTTAAACACAAATGCATAGAGACGTTTGACTGCTGCTTGGCGTTACTGCTCAAGTTATATAAAAGCTTTGCAGCTCCTTTTGCTGTCAATATATCAAAGTTTAAAAAAAAATCATCAAAGTGTGAAATTTCATTTAAAGTCTTCGCCAGTCTACAGCTCTATTTCACAGGCCCATCAAATAAAAGTAAAGATGAAAAATACACTGAAAGTACTTGAGAAAGTTTGCAGCAGTGCCCCTGCCCTGTTGTTGTTTATTCTGTCTCCCTGTGTTTGCTTTGAAACCAGAACTGATCAATTTTCATCTCGAAAAATGACAACATGACGTGATAGGGCAGCCTCCTTCCAGTGGGCTTTAAAGAGGAGATGACCTGAAGTCATTCTTAGGGTGGACTCTTGTTTAACGAATTTACTTACATATATATTTATTTCCTTTAGAGTCCCTTCAGCATTTTAATTCCCTTTCCTGACAGAAGTTGGCAGAAAATTTCTTGAATCTTCCAAAACAAATCAGACCGACCTCAGTATATGAATGCCAGCAAAACTAAAACCTCCTTCAAAGAATTCTTTAGCTGGGGATTTACAACAATTGCATAAAGAAGAGAAGTCTGACTTTTAAGATAATCTACTATAGTCTGAAAGCATTAACATTCCATTACTAAGGTTTTCTTGAGGATTTCATGACTCATTGATTCACTTTTCCTTCAAGACTGGTTTTTCTTAGTACATTACAGTCTCCATATGAGTGAGTGCATGCAACAATGATCATTAAATTGTTTCCTTTCATAAGCTCTCCAACTCTGTCCTCAAAAAACGGGGGGAGGGTTCCTGGATAAGCAGGATCCCTTACAGGAGGGACCTCTAAATGGAGAAGCACAGAGGAAGTCTAAAACCCTTGCAGCATGCAGGTAATTAAGGAAACTTCAGGGGCCAAGAAACAAAGAGAAGTCCAACTTTTAGGCGAGGGCATCAAACTGATAAATTAATGATTCTTTCATTAAATAAGTAATGAAATAACTCCATGGAGTCATTTTTCATCAGTACTGAAATCTCCTCATTTCTATCTGTGGTCCTTTGCCAACTGGATAGACAGTAAAAACGTGTTCCTATCAGGGTGCGATCAAGAAATACAAGCACTGTAAAGGCACTGGGAACTGGAAGGCAAGGGGTGGCTCTACAGCCTATGAACAATAATACACGCTCTCCTTTTTCTATACCTTTTACGTGGTTCTGCTAGTGGGACATTTCACTAGACACCTCTTACACGGGCGTCATTCAGGCATCTTAAACCACAGCTTCCCTGGGCCGACTTGAAGAACTATATACCCTGAGAGGATCTCCCCTCAGGCAGGGAGTTTCTAATTAAATAGCTTGTAGAAGAAAGTAAACTCTCTGTTCTGTATAAGTATGCTATTACAACTAATTTAAATGCTATTTCATGTTTGTTTTAGGTCTGGCTATAGCTTAACTGGCCAAAGCATTTGTGTTCCAGGTTGTTAAGACCAATATTTCCTAACATAGATAGATTCTTTGGATACTTCACACAGTTTACATTGTTAAAAACCAATCACCACTGCTTCAGTATTGCCTTCAACCGAAATACGGTTCTGCTTTAGAAAAATGAAGGGATTTTGAGGGTATTTCACTATTTTAAAACATAGCACTTTCCTCCTTCAAAATAATCTTGACACATGTAATTAAGAAACTGTCAGACTATTATTAATTTTTAATTTAAAACCTAAATGAAATAATTACAGGAATCAATCAATAAGGCACCTATTCAAATTACAGAGCAATTACATAAATACTCAAAATTAATACTGTAGGCCAATTCTTGAAGATTTCAGTCTATAATTCGCTAAGACATCAAACAACACGAAACGGAGGGCATGGGCAGGATGAATCGTTGCTGCCTTCCACAGACTGAAATGAGCTCATTTCAGACGGAGAGGCACAGCTCCCCCCACCCACCCCCCAGCCAGGCCCAACACACTCAAGCTGGAACTCTTTTATTTTTAAAAGTTAATTTATATCCACCAGACACATATTTCAAGGATCTAAAAAATGGCCTCATCCAAATTCTGCACAAAATCCCATTCAGGAGGGACAGGCCTAATTATACGAATTTTCAGCAAAGTGTATATAGCGAGCTCTGGGAAGACTAATTGGGGAGAGGAGGGAGGGGAGGAGGAGGAGAGGAGGTATTTTTTAGAACTAATAATCCCAGCCCGCTGACTGCAGTGCCCCTGTATTTGCACAGCGGCCGGCCCTCCATACCTCTGACTAAAGGGCTCTTTGACTTGGAGACGCGGACGGTCCATCATTTCAAACTGAAGTGGCAGCTGGAAAATGTGGAACAGCTGGCGAGGAGCTGGGAGAAAATGTTTTACATAAATATATGTACATACGAACTGGCAGTGGGCCACGAGCACTGTACCCAAGGCCAGATCTATCCAGCAGCCCACACCGGGGAGAGAGAAGTTGGGGGGCCGGGGAGCCGCGGCAGAGGAAACCACCTTAATCCTCTTTCCTCCCGGGTCAGCAGGGGAGCCTGGGGTCCAGCGCTTCTCCCTCTGGCGGATGGCATCTTATGGAAGGAGGTGCAGCCAGGAATAGAAACGGCACAAAGTTCAGGAAAGGATAAAAGGCTGGGTGTGGAGTGGAGCATCCGCCTCTGGCGATGTGTTTAAAAGTCGCTTCACAAACTCTCCAAGTTTGGGGTCAATATTTACTCCCTCTCCGCCTCCTCCCGCCCATTTCCCCGCTGCTACTCAAGAAAGCAACTGTCCCCTGCAGAGTGATTCAGACCCAACTCTGCTCTGCGTAAACGCGGCCTCTTAAACGCTTATTGCAAGGGCCACGGTTACTTTTCAGTATGTATGTGCGCGCGCGCTCGTGCTGCCCCTGGAAAGGAAAAGAAATAAAAGAGAATCCCAAATCACACACAGATGGCACAACTTTCGCTTTTCCCCTGTGACGACGGAGGCGCGCCTCCCATCCGCTCACACCACACCCCCACCCTCGCGAGTGCAGCCAGGCTGGAGAAAGCCCCCGCAGCGGCGGTCCCCGCGCGTCCCCACCTCGCCGCCCGCCTCCTTCCGCCCATCCCCGGGGCCGCGCGCGCCGGGCGCGGGAGCCGGAGAGCGCAATAGCGCGGAGGCAGGAGCCAGGGCGAGCGGTCTAGCCTAGTTCTGGTTAACCCTTTGAGTGGGGGTGAAGGCGCGGGGCGCTGGTGCCGCTGCGACCAACTTCGCTCCGCCTCCGGGATGCGCAGTTCTCCAGCTAGTCTCCGGACGGCCGAGGGGGTCGAACACTTGCAAAAGAACCTTCAAGAGGAAGGAACGGGTGGCTCTCCAAATCCGGGTGCCCTTTGACAGCCATTTTCATTCCATCCCATTCCCCCCCGTTGGGGACCACCTCTGAACCCCGAGGCG